AGCAAGAAGACACAGCAAGCCAACAAAGTTCAACAAAGAGAAGACCATATGGTTTTTGAGTTCTATCTCCTTCCAAAGATTAACCAAAGAAAATGGCTTTTTGACATCTGCTGGATCAATACCTTGGGAAGAAGGAGTATCTGCCACATTTAAACATAAGATAGCAACATTATCAGGCCCGTTCCCTTTAGTACTTCCCCCCGCCACCAAATCTACCTTTTCCTTATCTTTCCCAAAAGGAAACTTTGGTGCACCTGCCAGACCATCAGATGCAAATGACGAAACTTTTTCTAAGCAACAGTTACCTAGAACTGCCTCCTCACAACTCTGCATTTTGTTATCCACCTCCTTTAAAACCACGTCCGGCTAATTACGAAACTGAACCGAAAAACAAATCGAAGAATCTGGAAACCTGCTAACTTGAATCCAGCGCTTTTTTATTTTGGGCTTTTCAAAATTTCGAAATTTGAATTTTCTTGTTCCCCGCAAATTACGACTCTGTACGCTGTGTCGAGAGTTATCAAAAGAAATTCTAGTCATCTTTCCCGGCTGTCCCAGCTTCCCAAGGTTTGTATCTCCAGCCAAAAACGCCCCCTTGGAGCTGTTTGATAAAGATGAATTCTCCTCAATTGTGATTGATATCTCAAAAAATTCATCATTAATACTTATCAAGATCTTTCCTAGTGGAGGCAACTTTAAACAAATCTCGTCTTTCACACGTACAAATCAACAACCCGGGCTAAGAAAAGAGTCCCAATATATGTCCCACTAAATGCCCAAACAACCTGTAATATTTTTAATAATAGCTAAATTCCATGCTGATAATGGAGGACCCCAAAGTTTGATCCAAACAATCATCTTTTCATGAAAAGATGTATGATCCACCGCCTTCCAACGATCTAGTGAGAGAAGGCTGTGTGTGACTCTACAAAACCTATGGGACAGAGCCAATGATCTTAACATCAGGCCGATAAGATAACTCCCAACCTCACTGAGCCCATTCCGAGAGGCCAAAAAAACCTTTAACTGGAGGGGAGAAAGAACCAATAACAAAGAGCTCCTCTCATTCCATGCGGTTAACATAAATCACATGGGGAAATGTGTTCAAATCCCCATTAGGCATCCCATTCCCCTCTTCTTTCTTCCAATCTATCAATCTCCAATCCATCACTTCTCTATCTTTCTCTCTCTAGGCTACCATTATTGGTGCTTTTTCACATGACCCCATTGTGCAGCTTTCTCCTCTCTCATTGGCCCAGCCCCTACATGTCAGTTCTGGCTCATTTCTTGTTGATAAAAATATGAAACTGATATTGGTTTTAGCCTTGGATGATTCCACAATGCAGACACTTATTCTCCCTTTTTTTGTATCAAAGAATTGAAGAGAACTCATTCATTTATTCACTCAAAGAGGAAACCCTCACTTTCGCTGTCTAGTTTCCATCAAAATATTGTGAAGGCTTCCATGTGGGCTGGACCGCATTTGTACAATATGCGGTCCAGAGGTATAAAGCATCCATCTTAAAGATGGATGCAGATAGGTGGTCCATCTAAAAACAAGTCAAACTAACGGTCCATATGTTTTCTTAATACAATTATTATTTTTAATTTTCAAATTTTATTTATTTTTTCATATTCATGATCTCCATGTTAATAATTATATATTCCCTCAAAATTAGGATCAAATTATATTTAAAAAATATATTTATTGCCAAGCCCGTATTTGTACATTTGTGGGCTTCATTGCATACTAACCATGTCCTTCTTCAAATCCCAAGAGAGTATTGATTCAATGCAAAAAAACAATGGAGATTTCATGTTCCAGGAAAATGGACAAGAAGTTGGGGGTGGGATTTATTGGGGTTCGGGAATCAATTTGAAAGGGAAGAGATTTGCAAAGTTGCAGGTCATTGAAGAGATATTTGGGCATCGGCAAGAGAGAGAGAATCTGGCAAGATTGAGTTTTTGTTTTTTGTTTTCTTTTTTTCTTTTTTATTTATTTATTTATTTATTTATTTTTTTTTTTTATTTTTTTTTTTTTTTGAGGCTGGGGGGGGGAGGAGAGTGTTTGGAAATTTTGGTTTCGGTTTGGGGATTCTTCAGGTTTGTCCTTGAGAGAGAAAAATTTTCATTTTGATTAGTGCTGGTTCTAGAGAAAGAGGGAGAGAGGGAGAAAGAAGGGGCGGGACTCTTTTGTTTGAGACAAATGCACCAAGATTCTTTGGATTTGAGATAGAAGGAAAAAGTTTATATAAGGTGTCAACCTTATACTGTAGACGTGAGGTGCACCTTAAAAACTCACTGAAAAAGTTTGTTTTGTAACTGGAAAATTCTCTAATCGATCATCATGGCCTCGATCTATATGGATTTGAAAGAAAAAATGAATTTCAAGTCCTAAAAATAGTGTTTCTTGTAACAGATTATCTAAACAGACTATTTTTTAGATTTTCGAGTGTTCAAAGATCTGCTAGATTTGCATCATTTTCGAAGCTTTCAATTTTATTATAGGGGTGGGGTGAAAAATAGACTTTTAAGGCCAAAATAAAGAGTTTTGGCACCAAAACTGCATCTTTTAATGAGATTTTGAGGTGCACCTTACTATAACTGTTTAAGGTTGACAACTTGTACATAGAGCCACCCGGAATGTAATTGAATTATTTTTGCAAAAGGGATCGTAATTGATTTACTTTGGATGGCGTTTTGGGGCTATTTTAGAGGCCAGAAGGATGCATTTTGAGCAATCAAACAGGTGCAAGTTCTGTTTTTAAGAGTAGCAAAATTTTCAATTTTAGAAAGGCCCAAGTTTGGGCAGGCTGTGTGACAGGACCTTAGGCTTCCATGCATTTCTCCTTTGTGTTTCAAACATAAGAAATCAGTGCTCCTTCTAACCATTAGATTAGACAGCAGAATTCTTATTCCACATATTAAAACATATAGGTCGATCTATTTATGATGAGTTCTAACATATTCGTCGATCCGAATCATTTGTCTTATAAATCATGTAATTCATTCATCGAGCCATGTCTGTGGTTGTTTGTTGTACAAAAGAACTATTTGAATGCTCAATAGGAACATATTTACCTAAAGAAAAGACTTTCATCGTGACTTTATAGCCCTTTCTCTTCCAAGAATTTTTGTGAGTATGCTTTTTCGACATACGCTATCGATTCAAACGTCCTGATAGATGAGCTAAACCAAATAGTTATATGAGTGAAACATAACTGTTTTACTTATGGATTTGCATAATAAAATGGAGTTTAATACCCTGTGTACAAGAGGAACCCATTCCTTATGATTAGTTGATTAATCAACGTAGCGTCGCTGGAAGCGGGAGCAAATTCAAACTTCCTGATAGATGAGCTAAACCAAATAGTTATATGAGTGAAACATAACTGTTTTACTTATGGATTTGCATAATAAAATGGAGTTTAATCCCCTGTGTACAAGAGGAACCCATTCCTTATGATCAGTTGATTAATCAACGTAGCGTGGCTTGAAGCGGGAGCAAAAGTTCAACAATGTGTAGTTTCTCCGATTCTATGCATGTACCCATAGCAGAGATCAATCAAAAGTAATTGGATGTTTAGAAACACTGCACAAAGGGTTAGTAATACAGATAACGTAATGTATCTCAAAAGGAATTTCTACATAAAGGGCAGTAAACAAAATAAGAATAAGGATTTGACTTTGATAGAAATGATCAAACAGTACTTCCTCATGAGTTTGATTCAAGGTATATTCTTATCCAGTAGTTAAAGAAGAACTATCAAGAACAAAGTAATCTTTTATCTTTATACAATCCCCTCAAAAGAAGATTAAGAGCAAAAAGGATGACATAGAAAATGAAATACAAGATGAAAGATGTGAATGTCAATTTCATCTATATCATCGATCTCATAAATATCTTATTAAATCCCATCAATCAAATCACTTTTTTTTTTTATAAATACGAGGCATCTAAGTTGTACTAGTAAATAGGTCTATTCATAAATGTGAACAACGATGGGATTAATGGGAAAATAGAATCCTGACCCACAAATAGTGATTTGATTAATGATGAAGAAAGAGAACTCTTAACAAAACCAAGTTGGGTTCTTCTCCTGGCAGAATCAAATAGAACACATGCTAAACAAGACTTTTTTTATGTAAAACCCGCCCAATTTAGATCAGAAAAATCATACGAATTTTGTGAAACCATGTGCTATGGCTCAAATCCGTAGTAAGTTCTTATTTCGACAGCATATTCGCAATTGACAATTGAATCCAATTTTTCCCAATATTTATATATCCCTAATAGTGCGAAAAGAAGGCCAGGAATAGTGGCGTTGAGTTTCTCAACATTTGACTCAGGACAAGTTAGTTAAATATCAATTTAAAGGATTTGGAATGTGAAGGTACGTCAATACGTTCACATAACATTCTAGCAAGGGGACCAAATGTACAATTTTGGCTCATTACTTGAGCATGTATATTATGGTTCCACTGTACACCTACTCCTTTGATCAGAAGAACTACCAAGAATCACTAGATTATTATTTTTTACTTGAATTTGAGCTTTCTAAGACTTAAATCTCACCTTCCAAAAGTTGAAGAGTCTATATTCAGCCTTATGCCATTAATCTTTCAAGTGCATAAAGTTTAATTTGAAAACTCTTTTTACTCAAGATTAGTATATGGGTTAAAGATATTACATCCTCAAATTTGAGATCCAGGAATTAATCCTATATTAGGGTTTATCCAAGGGAATAAGTAAACAGTGTACACCTATGGGGGCATGAAATCTTCGGCAACATTAACGGATTTTCAGCAAACCATACCGAACTCATTTCCTTTTGAGGGGAGGGAGGTAGAGATGTTAACCCCAATTTTGTATTTTTGGGTAGGTTACTTGGGCTCTGCTTCCCAGTTATGCTGCCTACGTTCCCATTGATGAACCTACAGATTGAAAATTTTGTATTACGAGAGAGAGGGAGAGAGAGAGAATCACGTAGAGTGTCGTTCCCATTGATGAACCTATAGATCGAAATTTTGAATTATGAAACAGAGATGTCCAGTATGGATCCTTCAGCATACAATAAAAGTTTAAATTATACTTCATTGAAACCCCGAGACGAGGAAAGAAAATAACACAAATGCTGCCATTCATATAGATTGTGTGAATGGGGCCACTCCCTCATTCATAACAATCTTACATGAAAACCCAGCTTGCACACCTGAGAAAGCACATTAGGATCCAAATGGAACGGTAATAAAGCAGAAACCTTTTCAAATGCACCCACCAACCAGAAGTTACTGGTGCTGCAATCCTTGGTATACAAAATTTCTCCCATCAATTTCAAGCAGTTAGCTCCATTACTCCTTAAGGGCCTTCAGCTTTCGATATCCCTTGTCAGTACCAAATAACCTGGATTTGTAACAGCCATACCGAGAGAATATCAGAGAGCTTACTTCCTCTCATGTGCATGTGTGTGTATGTATGTGTGTGTGTGTGGTGTGTGTGTGTGCGAGAGAGAGAGAGAGAGACATTTCAGCTTTATGCAGAAATGGCAAAGATATAAACATTACGGTTCTGGGCTTCAATTATCATTCCATGTTTGGATTTGTTCTCCACGCCTCAAAAAGTACAAAATTTTCATGCTGATTATTGCTCAATATCCCATTTATAAATTTCCAAACCCTGAAACTTGTTCAATCTCCCGATTGTGAATTTCCAAAACCTGAAACTATAGCATGGCATCATCAGGGAGTCAGATTTTCTCGCTATTGATCTCTCTTCTTTCAGCTTTCTACAGTCCAACAGCCAAAGGGTTTCACAATACTCCAAATGGACCTTTCTGTCAAGTTTCGCATACATCTTTGACCAGCAGATCTAAGATTGCAGGAGGTTCATCTTCCCTCTAACATACATAAATAAATATGTACATGACCACATACATATATACATATGCCAAGATCCATGCAGATCAATTTCATGGATTGGTTACCAAAGCTCCTCCACAGGCTCTTATTCTTCTCTTATTTAATGGGTAACAAGTTATTAAGGGAGCATTGGGAAAACTTGAAGAGCCAGCAAATCAAGAAAGAAATCACAAAGTGGGGTGCTTTGAGACCATAGTTGCGGGGATCTTGGTGAAGGGGTGGTGTTCCCCTCTTGGAATCTCGATCCGGCGATCCAGGAGTCGGAACCAGAGCGATACTCACTTCCACGCATAAGGGGATCTCGATCCCTACCTATTGGGATCTCGGTTCCTAATCTAAAGGGACCTCAGTTCCTAATCTAAAGGGATCCTGGTCCTTGACTTCAAAGGACCTTGAGGGGATCACGACTCCTCAAAAGATGGATCGTGTTCCGAATATCACGGGTCAATTTTAAGGGCTTGTATGCATGTGCTTGTTACCCCTGATGGTAATGAGTTCATAGTCCATGAGAAATCCTTTAGCAATACGAATGTTGATGAGTTTATAGTCCATGTACTCATTTCAATTATGTAGCATTGCCCGTGAGAAATCTTCTAAGAATACTTATTTGACTATCAACATTAATTTAAATCAACTGTATGTACTTTATTATATAAAATATTAAATATATGCTAACGAGTATATAGTCTATGAACTCATTTCAAATATGTAACATAGTCCATGAGAAATCTTATAGTAATAATATCAACATTAATTTAATTTCACTTAACCAATGTACGTTAATATAAAGAATACTTAGTTTATGGCCTTTTAATTATTAAGATTTCATGAATTAATTTTTTTAAAGAAAATGTCTTATATACCTTTTTATGGTTCCTACACAATTTATGGTTTCTTTTATTTTATATTATTTAAAAGTATTTGAAAGTAATGACTTTTTTCATTTATTTATTTATTCTCATAATTATCATGATTAAATTTTGGTTTCTAGCACAAATTTTTTGTGGATTTCGTAATTACATTTATGTCTTTCATCTCTGAAAATTTAATTTAATACCATTTCAAATATTTAATGCATCTCATTTCAACGCATTCTTAAATCTATTTCTTGATTTTTTTTAATTATTAAGATTTCATAGAAATATTTTTTTAAACAAAATGTCTCATCTATCTATTTATATTTTCTAAAATTGAGGATGTTTTTTATATGGGTGCGGTTTGTATAGAGCCTAGGCTCTAAACAATCAAATTAGAGCCTACCTTCAAATAGTATCGAGAAATGTGGTTTCAATATTGGAAATCTTTGTGATAGCCTTAAAATATCTTTTTATATTTATTTATAAAGTTTAAAGCTTCAAAAATAGTGTAGATCGACAGATCTATAAAAACTTGACAATCTTGAAAATTGACGGTCCAAAAATGCGTTATAAAATACACTATTTTCAAAACTTGAAATCCATTTTTTTCTCATGTCCATGCTTCTTGATGTCGAGATGATCAATTTGAAGATATTTGAGCATCAAAACAACCTCTTCTAGTGAAATTTTTGAGGTAAGCTCAAATTTGATTGTTTAGAACCTCGGCTCTATATAAACTTTTCCCTTTTTATATTATTCAATGTTTTAAAGTAAAGATATTTTTCATTTAATTTTTTATTCTCTTAGTTCTTACGTCATAATTTTGGATGATAGCACAAAATATTTTATTGGATTTGTCCTTACCTTTATATCTTTCATTTCTAATTAAATATCATGTCAAGCATTTAATGCATCTCACTTCAATTTTTCCTTAAATCAATTTCTTGATATTTAAGATAGTACAATGTCTTTTATTGGATTTCGTGCTTACCTTTATGTCTTTCATTTTCTAAATAATTAATTAAATATCATGTCAAACATTTAATGCATCTCACTTCAATTCTTCCTTAAATTAATTGCTTGATATTTAAATTTTTAAGATTTCATAGATTCTATTTTTTTTAAAACAAGATGTCTTATCTACCTATTCATATTTTTTACAATTGACGAATGTTTTATATCGTTTAAATGTGTTTGAAAGTAATGATTTTTTTCATTTAATTTATTTTATTCTCTTAATTTTTATGTCAAAATTTTGGATGATAGTACAAAATCTTTTATTGGATTTCGTACTTAGCTTTATGTCTTTCAATTCTGAAAAATTTATTTTGTATCATTCCTAGCATTTGACGAATGTTTTATATTGTTTAAATGTGTTTGAAAGGAATGATTTTTTTCATTTAATTTATTTTATTCACTTAATTTTCATGTCAAAATTTTGGATGATAGTACAAAATCTTTTATTGGATTTCGTACTTAGCTTTATGTCTTTCAATTCTTTAAAATTGTATTTCGTATCATTTCTAGCATTTAATACATGACACTTCAAATCTTTCTTGAACCTATTCCTTGATTTTTTTTAATTATTAACTTTTTATTATAGAATATATTTTAACACAAATCACTCTTTAATTTCATAAAAATCATGTTATTAGTAATAGAAAATGTACTCTTTGGACTTCGTACCTCGCTTAGGTCTATCTTGTGTTCATACTTTTATTTTTAAAGGGTGTGGTTTCTACAAGGTTGAGGCCCTAAACTATCAAAGTTGTGTCTATGAATATAATATATACACACAAGCGCTTCCCCTGCACTCCCATATACATGTAGTTCATATACACAAGATCGCTCCCTGAGCAGCGCTCCAAAGGTAGGGAGTTTTAGCCAAGTGCTGATCCTGGGCTCCCACACCTGCACTAGGACCCACTCGCACTCCCAATATGTCTGAGACACATGACCTAGCAAGACCAGAATGTTCAGGAGCATTGCATGGAGAAAACTTATTATCTCAGGATACAATTCTAAGAAAATAAGGTTAGGAGATGTTCAAAAGCATTGTGTTATCCCTCAAAAGGCCAATATACAGGATTTGCATTTATTATTGACAAGGCCAAGAGCTCTTTTAACTAGTTCCTACCTGATAACTGCTTAAATCAAGTTAACGTTCCATTAAGCATCAAGTATAGACGGTGATGAGATTAAGGATGAACAAAAGGAAAGTGGGGGATATACACTGCCTAGGGTCATAATAGCTCAAAAGCAATGAAAGAGTGGACCTCGGGTAAAATTTTCAAGGAACTTAAGTTCTAGTCCAGAAAAGAGAAATCAAATCTTTCCGAACATCCTTGATAGAATAGATCCTTCTAGTGTTTCTTTTTTAACATAATTTTGGGTATCTCAAAATGCACCTTTCTCTACCCTTCTATAGCAAATGCGGCCAGTGATTTCAGCTATTCACTCTAATTTGGTCCCTAAACCCAAATGTCTAGAGTTTCTAGTGACCAATTCTTATTAAACTTTGGATTAAGCCACTATGCCCCAGGCTTTTGATCTTGTGATGATAATATAATATAATGCCCATAAAGTTTCAAATCCTCAAGTTTTACAGGCATTGGTTGTAAGGCTTCTGCTATAAATTCAATAATGCAAAAAATTAAGGATCCTTCTGACAAGTAAACTCCAAACCTGTAGAGAAGAGGATATTTGCTGGCCCAAGCAATGACTTCGACATATTCATGCTTCCATCACCCCAATATCTTGTTTCCAAACTATCATGGAGCTAATGAAACTTGTTTCGAATTGGACAAAGTCAACCTGACTCATGAAGTAGGAGATTCTACTAAATGAATTCCTTGGATAAAATTTCCTATATACATTTCTTGCATGGTTTCATGTAACATTTCTTACATGATTTCATGTATTTCTTTGGATAAAATTTCCTACATACATTACCTATATACATTTCTTACATGGTTTCATTATAGAGTGATTCAAGAGATACGCTTGTTGTATTCAATTCCCGTTACAGGGACCTTGTGTCTAAAAAAAATCATGAAAAAGTTTTAAAACTCGCTAAGATTTTCAAAGCAAACTGTTTGACTCAGCAAACTGACTTAGTTTTGGCAGTGATTGAATAGCCCACCGATTTTGACGTTTGAACACTGATATCATGACCTCGTGGCTCTCCTTCAACATAAGGCATTATTTATTCTAGAAGATACTGGCTGACTGCATTTTTGGTCCATTCTCTAATGTTTTTATATAATGGACCAATATGTTGCAACTGATGCACATAGTTCACGACCGTAAGTCAAAGATGTTGTCAAGGTCCTTGGCTTGGTCAAACACTAAATGAGTCTGTTGGACTCTGAGTTTTCGTTCCAAATCTCCCAAGGCAATAATAATTTCATTTCAGCATGACACTTTTGAGGAGCACTGATTCCTTATGCATCTATGAAGCTTGTATATGCTAAGGGTATTTGCACAGATAGGATAGATTGTTGCATAACTGCATGCTATTAGAAAACGTAAATAAAATTTACAATGAATATAACAAACTGCATAACATGAAAAAGCTTGTCAGCCAGATAATCCGTTGCATCTAAACTTATGATAAATCAAGGTTAAAATATACAATATGTGATATCTAACAATATATCATGACAACAATATTTTGAGTTTACATTTAAAACGAATAAATTTCAGTATAATAAATAATGAATATCTATAATTTTTTATTCTTTTAAATATCCACAAACAAAGTGTAGACTATGTGCCCTAATTTAATTATAGGGAATGATGCATTATAATGACAACTTGGTCCTCACAGGACTCTCAGTAGAGTCCAGAATATGTCTCTCGGGCAAATAATCTCCCAAAAACATTGAAGAAATAAATTATAGGGAACAAAATTAATTGAGGATGTAGGGCCTGACATGATCAAATATTCATACAGGATGGATTGCTTTAACACCTTTACAAAGAAAAACCTTGTATAGTTGCATGAGGAAAGAAAGAAATCCTTATGAAAAAATTTGAGGTCGTCCAGAAAACCAAGACAGGAAATCAGAGTTTACCAATCCATGTATGTGAAAGTTGACGAGTAGTTGCCGGATTTGGTGTAAAGAAGACGATGATGGTAATCATGAAAATCAGCCCTGAAAATTGCAACAGAAGTAGTCAATATAATAAGTCCTTAAATTCCAAAGAGAATGGCAGTAAAAGAAGACAGCAAAAGCAATGAAATAAAAATAGAAGAATAAATAAATAAACAAACAAATAAATAAATAATACAGACCCTCCATATAGAGGAAAGACGTTTGATAGGCTCCAAGGAAAATGGTAGCCACAATGTGCCTCGACTGTCTCCAAAACTCTCAATGACATCCATAGCCACAAGGTGAACAGATGAGGGCCAGTGATAGCAGGGCCAACGATGGTGGCAAAACCAAGGAACAATATCTCAGCTGGGTGGGCATATTCAGAAGTCAAACCAAATGGTGTAGCATATCTGTATGACAACAAAATCATGTTATTTAAGAAGCAATAACAGAGACTAGAAAAGAGTGTCCAAATTGGGTAGCATGGGACATGTCTTACTCATGATGTACACTGTGAACATGCTTGTACAACCACTTAGTATGTAAAATCCTATGGCCCCAGTAAAAGACAAAATCCTCCAAGACAAAGTAGCAAAGAATTTGAGGTAAAACTACTTTCCTGTAGATCATTAAATTTAATAATCAAGTTGCCGCCAAATATCATTGTGTAAAAAAATAAAGCTCAGTCAGATGAGGAAAATAATGAATTAAGAAATGGCAAATTACATGGTTAGTGAAGAAATAGTAATGTCGTCAGAGAAACGGAAGAATTTTAGACTTTCCATAGGAAGCTCTTATTACCAGGATGGCAAAGGCAGACTACTTCTCAAGCCCATGTATCTGAATACAGGATACGAAGCAAGCATGAGGGGAAGATTTACACAAATGTGATACAGTAGGAGATGAGTAATGCATTTTTCTTGGGCAGCTGGAGTATTGTTTTTACTCTGCAAACAAGGACAAACCACTGGTCAGCCTAACAACTATTACAAAATAATCCTAGATAATTTTATGCCACTTAGCAGCTCGAGGCATCTCAATAAAAGAATGCATCCCGGAACATAACTATCAATAACATACAACACTAATAATCAAGCTATAAACAATTCAAAGCATTTCCAGAGGTAAGATGCAAATATGGAAATCCCCAATGTTCATTCCAAAGAGAAGTGCCAATTTTACTATTTTTAGCAAAACTAATGTTTTCCAGAGTAAAGGTGAATTCTGTCTTCCTAGACCGGATGTTTGTTGACATACATCTATTTATGAGGTTATTAAGGCTTATCAAAAGATTCACAAAACTGTCAATGGTGGCAGTTAACTCATTATTATTGAGGTTATTCGAAGTTCTCAGGAGCAAACCAAAGTGGTATTCATTTGAAATTCGAATGCCACTTCATAAGAAACAAGCTATAATATGGTTTGTGAGAAATCATTGAATTTGCTCTCAGCCAAGAAGCAAAACAGTTTCCCAAACATGTACAGAAACAGTTTCCCAAACATGTACAGAAGTAGAAGTTCTCTGTATCATGCAAACAGATTGTTCTCGGCCACAGTCAACAGATTGTAGTTGTACCAAGATTGTTAGGAATCTCGGCCACAGTCCTCTGGTAGAAATTCACTTAACCTCGTCATACTAGTGCATTTATATAGCTTCACTTCTGTTTTTTTAAATATAACTATACTGAGAGAGTTTGACTGCCACTTTATTAAGATGATCCTTTATTATTGTGCTATAAAACTTAAACATATCCATTCTGTTACGTTAATCCTTGAAGAACATAAAAACACATCAATTCGGTTCTCAAGACTATCAAGATTTTCTATAAAGCTATTACAAAGGTGCAAAGAAACACATTCATTCCTCACAAGCATCAACAGTCAAGAAGAATGATTTTCTATAATTCAATTGTCTTCTATGTCCTAAGGGGGCTTATGTCCTTCTAACCCATTTGTTAGTTTTATCTATTAATGTTATCTAGACTAGACTGGACAAACCAATCTAACCAATTCGACTGCGTACTACGCCTGGAATTCTGGAACTGCATTGTTCTGATCAGTGAATTAGCGCTTCAAAACCCATCCAGACAATCCAGTTCAACCACTTTAACTGGTTGACATCATAGTTACCAAAATCTCTCACCTAAGGCCGCGATTCCAACTCAAAATCCTAATTCACGATTCCAACAAGAAATCTTCACAGAATCAGTTTCTGTGAAGTCAGGAATCTCGATTCCAACAATTATAGAATATCCTTTCTAATATTTATTGATTCTTGATTTCACAATTGTTGAATCTCGATTTTACATTTGTTGAATATATATTTCACATATAATGATACTATCTCCAACAAATTAGAAACACAAACATAAGGCTTTGAACTACAAAATAAACAATTCAGAACCTAGGAGAAGCATCAAATTGGAAACTCGATTTCAAAGTTATCGGAATCTCAATTCTATATATTAAAATTTCGATTTCATATGGGTCAATTCCAAATACATCAAAAACTTGACTCTAAAGAGGACGGAATCTCCATTTATGAGAAACCGTAGATAGAGAGATCATAGATAGAAAATGGGATAGGTTCTTCATCGGCCACTACAATAGCTGGGTGCTATTTGAACCCAAAGTTTTTCTATGTTAACCTGGATATTGAGAGGAAAGACGCAATTAGGGATGGCATTAATGAATGTGATGCAATTATGACTGGCCTTAATGAATACAATGCAATTATGGATGGCTAGTTCCTGATAAGGAAATCCAAGATAAAATATCTGCTAAATAATCAACTTGCAAGGAAATCCAAGGGTGCATTATAATAATCTCGGAAGGAGATGGCGAGATAAATGAACAAATCCAATCCATGTAATATATCTAATATGAATAATTGCGTACAAGTTTCAACTTGCATAGTTTCATGTGATGTCATAAACACATACTTATAGTGATTGTATATAGTTTGTAAGCCAATGGTGGAGCCAACATTGGAATAGTCTTCCAAAATAACGAAGGATGGTCATCCAGAAATTGAGCTTAACATGTAATCATCTAGATATTTTCAATACCTTTGGTCCATAATCTATGAGAAATGAGACATTGAGGAAGATGTTGCTCATAAAATTAGAGTTGGATGGATGAAGTGGAGATGTGACCTTACTTATGTAATCATCGTATATCAATGAAACTGAAGGAGAAGTTCTATAGGTCGGCTGTATGACCAGCCATGATTTATGGAACGAAATGTGGGGCGGTCGAGAAACAACATATCCACAGCATGAGTATTGTTGAGAAGAAGATGTTAAGATGGATGAGTAGTAAGACAAGAAATGATAAAATTCTAAATAAATATATTTGAGTGAACTAAGGGGTAGCTCCAATAGGAGATAAAATAAGGGAGAGTAGACTTAGGTGGTCTGGTCATATGCAACACCAACTATTGTTTCAAAAAACGCTAGGCGGCACCTAAGCGGCCGTGGGGGTCCAGGCCGCCAAGCGCCTAGGTGGGCTAACCTGGGCGACCCAATAGAAAGAAAAATGTTAGAATTTTGATATTCTAACTATAAATGAGGAGAATTTTGATATTCTATCCATAATACATATTTGATATTTCCATGAATGAGGAGACTTTTGATAGTCCATAATCTATATTTTCGTACAATGCTAAAACCATACAAGCATACTCTGATACACACAAAAGTTAGATAGTAGAAACTAGAAACTAAAAATAAAATAAAAAAGAAAATATACAGAAATTTAGAAAATATACAGTCTAGGACTCAATAGTGAACACTCAACACTCAACACCAAGAGTCAAGAATCTTCAACTCTTCAATCTTCAATCATCATTAGAAGAAGTAAGGTAAACCTCATCATATGCATCAGATTCGAGGCCATCATCATCAGACTGAGAGTCATCACCCTCTTCAAGATAACACTCATCCTCCACTGTTTCTTCTGAATCTTCCTCTTCCTTCCCTTCTTCTACCTTCCTCTTACTCTGTGCAGATGAGGCCTTAGGAGTCTTGCCTGTTCTACCCTTTTCTATCTTTTTGTACTTCTTTGAACTCAAATATTGTATAATCTCCTCCCTGGTAGCCTCAAGAAGATTTTTACATAAGGCAACATCTCTCTTAATACCGGTAAGGTATTTTTTGAACCGGTAAATACCTCCATTAGTATCATTTCCACAATAATTACATTTAATACGATTTTTGTCATTCGGATTCGGGTTATGACCATACTTCCAACCCGGATTATCATTTCTAGAAGAACTTGGAGAAGATATTTCTATAGAACAAGGACACTCATTTTCATCCTTTTTTGGTTTTACTAAATTCAGATATTGTCTAATCTCATCCCGAATAGCTTCAGAAACTTTTTTACAAGAAGCAACATTCCCTTTATTACCAGCAAGGTGTTTTTTGAATCGGTTAATACCCCCATTGGTATTTTTTTCACAAAAATTACACCTAATACAATTTTTACCGTACTTCCAACCCGGATCACTTCTTCTAGTAGAACCAAAAATAGATCTATTCAAATGACAAGGATTTTGTTCATGTTTGTGTTTTACTGAACTCATATATTGGTTAATCTCCTCTCTGATAGCTTCTAGAAATTTTTTACAAGGGCCAACATTCCCCTCAAAATCGGCAAGATGTTCTTAAATCGGTTTACGCCCCTATTTGTATCTTTTTCACAATAATTGCATCTTATGCAATTTTTGTCATTCGAATTTGGGTTATATCCATAATTCCAAACCAGATCTCCACTTCCACTAGATCCAGAAGAAGATATCTCAAAATAAAACAAGCAATCTAACAAACAAAGTTTTGCAATTACTTTGATTGCTCGAACTCCAAACTTCCACCTCTGAGATATTTTTTGGTGTTAAAATATTCAAAAACACCCTCTAATGGGACTAAAAAAACTTCAAAACTAAATCTAAACTTGATGGATGTTGTTTGGATCCATTTCCCATAACTTTGAGAAACACTTCGATCCAATGAAAATCACAAAATCTATTTTTTTTTTAGGCTTCTCTCTCTCTAAAATGGGTTCTTGTGGGTTTAGATTTCAAATGAACCTAAAACACACCTTTAAAAGAATTGTCTTTTCAAAAAACCCCAAAAGAACCCTAAAGAAAAACCCATTTCCGCCCCTAGGTCGGGCGCAGGCCCTGGGCAGCTACTCAGGGCTGGGCGCTGGGCGCCCTCCTAGGCGCCTGCCCAAGGACGTCCCACCAAGTTTGGCTGCTTAGGCGTGGGCGATGCGTCTAGGCCTTTTGGACCGCCTAGGCCCTGGGCAATCTGCTTTTTGAATCACTGGCTCCAACCTAGAACAACACCGGTTAAGAGGGTTCAAGTGAAAGGCTTTAAAAGTGCAAGGGTAAGGCACTAAAGGGCAAGTTAGAAGTAGTGAGGAAAGATATGGCGGCTTATAGTCTGATTGAGGGTATGGCCCTTGATAGAGCGAAAAGGAGCAGAATTCATGTAGGCGACCCCAAACCACTGGGATAAAGCTCAGACGACGATGATGATGAGATAGCTCATCTAACTGTGCGCAATTAAATTTCATTTAGGATGGTAAGTTGGCAATCTGCAAAATAGTCTAGTATTACCAATTCAATATTTTATAATTTATGAATTCATGGTTATAAACCTATGAATTTAGGATAATTTACATATACATGTATGTGCGGGTGTAAGTTTTCTAAGTTCATTTAGCTCATGGTTTATTTATAAGTTTATACATATAACCCTTGTTCTCTAAGTTCTAGCTCATGCATTTTTCAATAGGTGCATATAAAGAAAAGGAACATGCTTGAGCTAAAGAGGCTCAATGATTTAGTCTTCGCCAAGTACAATCGAGGGCCAAAAGAGTGTTTCAATGAACATGAGAAGAGGTATCTGATTGCAACCAAAGACATGGATAATTCCAGCAAGCGGTTGCTTGAATAACCTAGGACTAAAGAGGTATTCGCTGATGAGGATTTGACTTGGGATATGGTAGAGAAGGCTTCAGGGAAAACTTCTACAAGACCACTAGATTAATGGCGATTACTACTCCTAGTTCACAAAGAAGAAGTAGGAGGAGACGGCTGATTCATAAGAAACTAAGGAGGAGAGTCCTTACGTTGAAAAGGGTGATGGTTTTGATGGTGATGGTGTTGATTCAGATGGACCTATAATCCAGACAAAGCCGATGATTATAAAGACAATGAAGATTGAAGACTAAGTTGTTTCTTTTGTATCTATCATTTTACTTTTCTGACTTTGTTATCGATTGAAATGTGTGTAGACTTGTGGTTGTTGTCTTCTTGTATTTCAGTATTTGAGTTCTTTATGGTATTGGACTCAACATGGAGCGATTATCTTTTACTCTTTGTGTGGTTGTCATTTAGTTTGATCTTACATTTACGGATTTACTGAAGTTGTGAAATTAATTTCAATGCTTTAAGATGCATATATATATGTATATGTGTTATGTGTGTGCGCGTGCGCATGCGCGTATGGAGCACACATACATGCATATGTGTGTGTTTGGGGTGGCTTGTAAACCTGGGCACCTACCTAGGCTCCGAGTCAGTGTTTGGGTGGCTAGACCCCCCTTAGCTGCATTGTCCAACATCTTTTTACAATATTGTTTTTTTTCTTTTTTCGAAGCTCATAGTTTTAGAACATTGTTCATGAATAACTTCTTTAAACATGGCATTGGGCAATGGAGAGGCACATTTGCTCAGACAAATCATACCAAGGGGGATCACACCTGCACTCACTTTTTGCGATTGTTTTCATCAAAAACTAGCAAAAGTTAATACCATGCATTTTTCCAAAGGGAACTTGAATAGTATTATATATTGGTTATAACAAATGTTCAGTAACAACATTACACATGCCTAGACATGAACCACATAAATGGACCTGGTGCAAGACTCAATGCTTGAGGCACAGTTGGATTCCAAGGCAGGATCCTTTACAAATGGCTCTCAAGAAAAGGTTATAGATGGAAAGAACAGTTTATGAAAATTTTTAAATGATACAATCTGTAGAAATATACATTATCATGCCACCACAAGGCCAGGAATTATAAGTCCAACATCCCTAAACCTAGCTTTCCAAGACCAATTGGTCAAGTGAGCTTGTCAATAGACACCGGGCTCTGTGAGAATAATAAAGGAGATGTTATCACTACTGCATTACAAGTACCTAAAATTTCAGTCACAATACAAAGACACATCCTTTATACAACGTCTCAGTGTTCAAAAGATCGTCAAGTGAGATAAGAATCGCTCAATCCGATGAGGGAATCATCAGGGACCGTCCCAGTTCCCTGACGGTATCGGTAACCAGTTCGTTCCAGACAAAACCGACCGGTACTCTTATAGAACCTGCCAGTTCCCACTTTTTTATTTGTTATTTTTTCAATTTTTTATTTTTTGTTTTTAATTTTTTAAAAATTTTTGTTTACCCGGTTCCCACATTTATATTAGTATTTTTTCTTTTCCTATTTCCCATTTTTTATTTTTTAAATGACCAACCTTGGTCTCACCCCCTCTACTTCAAATGGGGCCTAGCTGAGCATGCATGACAAAGAGTGGTAGTGCCTGTTATAGAGTTTGCCTTGCAAAAGTCTTATGCACAATTGTGAATCAAAGATGTGCGACTAATATCCCCTGCACAATGGAGCATTACCATGGTATGTTACCATATGGTTAATATCCTCAAGGGTAAATGATGACCAAATGAGAAAAATTGGGTATTTTAAAGAAAAGAACCCCTTTTTTGTAGTCCATAAGAACTTCATCCTCACATTTTAAAAAATGCAAATGCCCATTTTGGTAAGAAATCAAGAAAATTTGCCCCACTTTCATTGTCAATCAAAACTTTATGGTCACGTTTTAAAGAAAATGCCCAACTTTTAGATATCAAAAGGAAATGCTCAAGGATATATTAACTTTTGGATAAACATATTTAGAAAAACATCCCAGGGCAATTCGAATCCACCTGAGTGTGCTCGGGACCACCAGTGGACCGATCTGAGTTCACAGAAATCACTGAATTTAAATCATCATCATCAACGTCTTTCTCAACTCTTTGGGGTTGGCTATAGAAAACCTGGTCTGCAATTCTGCTCCATCAAAGTCGATACCCTTAGTGACGTCATAAGACCTTATATCTTTTCTCATTACTTCCAACCGTATACTTTTAGGCCTACCCCTTTCCCTTTTTGAGCCTTCCGCTTGACCAACTTGCACCTCCTAACAGGTATTGTACAAGGTTTGTTGAACATGGCCACCCACTAAGTCTGTTTTCTCTCATCCTATCGCCTATTAAGTTCTCCCTAGTATATTCATTTCGAATTCTATGCCTTCTTGTCTTGCCACTCATCCATCTAAACTAAAACTCATCCTATAGGTATGTTGTTTCTTAATAAAATCACTCGATTTAAATATAAAATAATAATAATAAGAATGATAATAATAATAATAATAATAACCAATCCATTCTCAATATTTCTCCCTCGTTTCTTCACTAGAAATCACAAAATTAGCATAAATGTTTTTGTAAAAGTATTGTATGAAAATCAATACAAAAAATTAATATCAAAGTTAATAGCAACAAACACTTAAATAGGAAATAATATCTCAATATACACCTATTTTTGCAAAATAATGAAAATCTATAATGTATTACCCCAGATTTTTGGAAACGCAAAAAACAGTATTCATAACAAAGCTTTTTGAAATTTTTTGGGATGGATTTTAGGCCGGATTGTGTTGGTGTTTGGGGGTCTCACCGCGGTTTACAAGACATCACGATGGACATGAACTCCCAAATAACTGGGATCAAGTGTTAAACGCCCCCGTCTGGAGGCACGAGAGGAGTTCGCTCGTCTCAGTAAAATTCCGAGGTCTAAACGGGTCCCGGCGAGTACACAACCAGTTCGAAAATAAATTCTTTAGTTCTTGAATTGCACACTCAGTAGACCCGTACAAAACCACAATCACAAATACTGATATGTACATCTCACTATGAAAACATCATCCAATCGGTATAAAACAAACATCGATTGGGAAAAATGGAGCTCATATGAATCTCACACAGTAAAATAAAAGACATTTTAATAACAAATGTTACCTGAAAAATTGTGAGAACATAGCTTCAAAAACAACTTTTTAATGAGTTCAAAAACCTCAATCCAAATGGTACTTCTTTCTCTCTCTAGGTATCCCTCGTACCTTACCATTCTCTCCACAAAACTAAAAAGGTCTCACCCTCTTTCCTATGTCTCTCACTTCTCTCTCTTCCAAAACACAAAACCCCTCTATACAAGACACATTAAATTAATAGATCAAAAGAGAGGTGTTAAGAGGAAAGAGAAATGAGAGTCACAAGGAAAGAATGGGGATACCATGTGCCAAGGTATTCGGAACAACTAGGAGATGCATGAGTACGATAATAGCATGACAGAGCATTAAATGCAGGTGAGATGTAGTGTAAAAGTTTGGAGAAAAGTGGGAGTAGTCCAACAAGACCACAAAGAGCCATATAAAACCACAGCCAAAAAAGATGTTTTGAAACACAAATTTTAGCAAAAAGCTAACAGATTGGCCCGACCCAAATTGCCGATCCAGACTGGTTTCGTGGTCGCCCGATATGGCTGTCCGATCCAGGTTTCAAACAATGCAACATCCAAAGTCATCTGCCCTTTAATTGGTTAGGGCTAAGCTTCCACTTGTCAATAGCTCACTGTAAATAGAACAAGACCTAATATAGGGCAACAAACAATCTAACGATAATAACTACTAAAGGGTGAAGTTTGTATAAGGTGCCCACCCTATACTATACAAGTAAGGCACCCTCTAAATTTTGCCTGAATATGTAGTTGCAGTGTCCGGACACAGAAATCTTATGATGGCTCGAAACTTTATGTTCAACCCTAATTATGAAATTTAAAATTCTAAAAAAAACATAGATCGAAAAGATCTATAAACACCTAAAAATATTGAAACTAGACAGTCCAGTAAATTTGTTACAAGATGCACTATTTTTAGGACTTAAAATTCTTTTATTCTTTATATCCATACATCTCGAGAACGAGATGATCGATTGGAAAGTTTTCCAGCTCGCTTTTCTACTAGATTTTTGAGGTGCACCTTAATTGTACAGAATAAGCTTTCAACCTTATATATACTTTTTCCATTACCAAAACAAATTTCACATAAAGAACATGGTATGTATTAGCTATAAAAAATAAACAAATAAATAGTAACGCATATATTTCCACTCTCTATTCAACATATCATGTTTTATGACTATGAGTAAACTATTTACACTTTACTGAACATAACATCCAGTTATAGCGCAAAGTCTGCAGTTATGCTTCAAAGACCAAATGCAAAGGCCTAGGCAATGCCAAGACTTTTTGACACACTAAGAAACTTGCTTCCTATTATCATATATAAATGTAAAAATTCCTTGTATTTTTATTTGAAATCCAAAAAGTCAATAATTTTTTTTTTCAAAGCTCCAGTACTTGATAATAAGCGTGAATTCATACTTTCTACCCTTCAATTTATGAATCCAAAAAGAACATAGACTGTGACAGAAACTCTAATCACAAGAGAGTGAATCAGAGTAACAGTAATGTGCCTATAAGGACTCATTTTACCAACAGAATGTAAAACTTAAAGTATCAAGCTACTTTAAAATGATATGGCAAAGCATGCAAAGCATATCTTTTGTTTATGTATCTTAAGCCCTGGTTTATTTGGTATCCAGGAACTATATGCACCCGGTAATAAGATAAGAGGGGAGATTCAATAGCACAAAGTGTGCAGATGATGCCTGATGTTAGTCCCTAAGACACGATATTTATATATGATTAAAATATTTAGAGCTAACAATAATAATGAGGACAAAGTAGAAGAACCAAACCTGGATTTTGTACTTGCTTAGGATTCCAGCCCTTTCAAGAAAGATAAATGGCAGTCCTGACAAGAAAAAGACGCTCTCGTGAAGCAAGAAACTGCCAAAGGATGCCAGCTGAAAATCACTGAAGTGTGTGATCAGGTACTGCAGGAAATCAAAAATTTGTCCAAGTCATTGCTAAAGTCATATATTTTTCATATATAAGCAAAAATTATAAAATCCATACAAATTTCGACAAATACGATGAATGAAAAAATATAACCGAGTAAATGGACCAGAACATTTGAAACAAAACTCCAGTTTCAACAGTTCAATATGCATCCCAGTACAATCTCTCATATACCTTGAAAATGTTAAAAGAGCCCATGACTAAGAGCCTAAGGTTATCCAGAGAAAACTTCAAAATGAGGTTTGAGAAATCAAAGATTGTGGACAATAAAGTCATTTTTCATTTTAACGCAATCAATGGACAAACTACTGGCCTTTTCACGAGAATCAAATAGAATTTTCCCTACATACAAGAATAAAAATATCCTTACTTGTCCAAATGAATGCTCTTGAGTTTTCAATCATTACATGCAAAATGTCTTAATCGTCTCCAAAACCAAATTTCAACATCATTCAATGTTCCTGTAAGCTTTAATACAATTCAATTTTACTGAAAAAACAGCCATACTACCAATCAATTTCACGGAAATCACATGAAGGACTAAGGCATGCTTTAAGGTATACTATTGACTGCCATACCTGCACAAATAAAGTGCATTCACCTAGGAGAACATATTAAAGAAATGCATTGCAGGGAAAACATAAAGCATGATTTGCTTTACTCTAAACACCTACCATGGCCACCAGTTACAGACTTGATCTCAAACATTTACAGTCTTAAAACAAAAGACCTAGGGATGAAGTATTTTGGTGCAAGATATTGTGGCCAGCAAAAAAGGACGGCAGCCTTTATCGTAAAATATTTGTCTTGACTCTTGAATATAACTGAGTGAGAGTAAGGAAAGGGAAAAATATTTTGCTTCGAATTCAGGATAAAACAACAACCTGCCAGTAAATGTTGGTTTATGTAAAATATACAATAACGAGCTTGCAGATTTCCTTTTTTTTGTTTTTGGGAAATACATGGGCTTACAGAGTTCATTGCAATGGTTTTTTCTATGACTCCAAGAAGTTATATTTTTCTTTTTCTCCATAGAATGAATATATGCACATTCTGTTCTTCATGCACAGACTGATCGCTCCAGACATATGGTTCGATATCAGAAAAAGATAACAGAATAAGATACTAGGAAAATGTTAAACAGATCCTCTACTTCATCTAGGGCTTTAAAGTTTTGATATGAGAAAATCTTTGAAGTTCACACTTGCTTTATTTCCCAAAAGACTTCACCAATTTCTTAGACTACGCTTCACTAGCCCTGAGTCCTGACTATCGCTATCTATAAGTCCATCAGTTTAGAAACTTGATCCAACACTCTTCCTATTGTAAGATTTCGAACCATAAGCACAAGTAAACTCGAGCGGTAGTTTTCTTTTCTCTTGCAAAGCATATTAGATCTCGATTTCATTTTTGCTAACACACCTGTACATTTTCTCAAGTATTGGTCCATCAGGCAAAGAGCCCTTAGATCAAAGTTTCCACTAGTATACAGATATGGGCATATGTAGTTTTCAATTAGTGTTGTCAAACCACACCTAAAAGTTGAATTATTTAACGTGTCACCCATATTTTCTCATCTAATTTCAGTAACCCATCATTCTTGTTATTCAAATTTCAAACAACCCACAAAATGACAAATCAATATGAGTTTTGAAATTTATCAAATCACACCTATGATAAAATGTTAAATAGTTCAACTTCTAGGTGTGATATGATAAATTTCACTTTCATTTATGGTTGAATGTGAACTGAGATATCATTGGAATGGGAGTTGACCAAAGCCAAGAAATAGGGAACCATGCTTATATATTATACAAATTAATATAAGTAAGAATTTTCTTGAGAATGTATGCATGAGTTATAATTAAAGATAAACATCCTTTTGAACCCATTTATGCATATACAAGAAACAAACACAGATTTTCCAAGAGACAGCAACACAATTGACCATAAGCCAATTTACTGTCTGTGAAGCTCAATAACAGAGTTTGCTATGGATATTAAGTTTATTAACCCAAAGATCCATCAAATAATATGCGAAGTGCACAACATCAAGGAGCCATAAGGTAATTATAAAATATATTAGTCCCTACGCTCCAGAAAGAAAAATCAGATCATGTAATACAAAGCATGGTATTGTGCTTCAATAGAATTAACAAGGAAATATCATGGACAGGGTTCGCAAAACATAACAAGATACAGACTCAGATAGGATTGGATTTGATTTTTTATGTCTCTGGCTCCTGAAGAAGCAAATATCATGAAAAAAAAAAGTACGAATTTTGGGATCGCCATTGTGCCAAAAACAACTCAATTATCCATGAACAATGAAGAACAGGCACCAAGTTCAGTTATCGTATCCATTGAAGAATTAAAGAATATACACATGTCCTCTCCTCTCAGAGCAGAAATTGATAGCTTATGATTGAACTCTATTAAAGTATCCATATAACTACATTTACTTTTACCACAAATCCGAGATCAAAATATCACAGCATCACCATCAGAAAATGGAAAATGTCACAGAGTATCAGCACAAAATCCTTGCTCAAGCAAAAAGTAACAATAAAAGTACAAAACTTTTAAAAAAAGAGAGTACATCATAGTAACAACAACCCACATTCACAAAACAAAAAAAAGTAGAGACCAGTCTCCCAATATCACAAATTTGAAGGACCAACACACCATGATGCCACAACCAAAACGAAAATCCACTCAAGGGAACCTGGAAATATAAAAATAAAAAATAAAACTGAAAAAACAAGACTAAAACGATATAAAGCAAGCATGAGAAGAGGAGAGAGAATACCAGCCATCCGGATTCAAGGAGAGATTCCATGAGACCCACCGGAAAATCCTAAAAGTCGACGAAAATGCAAGAGCGGCAGTTTCCGGCGAGATTTTCAAGGGGTAAGGAGAGGGACGACAGAGATGAGCCAAGATTTGAAGGTTGGGCTAGAATGCTAGAGAGAGAAGCAAGAGAGGTGAAGAGAGAAGAAACTAGAGAGAGAGAGAGAGGGGCCCGGTGAGCCACAGGTGGGGTAAAGTTTCAAAAATCACGTACGGAAAGGCCCCTGCCGTCCGCAGAGAATTACGACGCTTACCCTTATATTACGAAGAAGTTAAGGGCAAAATTTGTCTCCTTTCTTTTCGCGAAAAGCGATGGTGCGCCCCCAGTTCCGCTTGATAAAGTGAGAGAACCATGGGTCATTCATTAAGGACTAAAATACCGTTGTCGGTAGAATTTATGAGTAGTACATATTTGATTTTCAGTTGGAGGGGTTTGTACATGGTGCCAATCTTATACTGTTGCAGTAAGATTCACCGCAAAATTATGCCACAAATATAGTTTTAAGTGCCGCAAGACCTTGTGATGTTATCAAAATCTATTGTTGCTTCCATTTAGGAAATTTGAAGTTAAAGAAATAATGACGATCATTCAGATTTATAAAAATTTAAAAATCTAAAAAATAGATCACCCAGGTAATGTGTTAGAAGATGAATTATTTTCAAGGCTAGAAATCTTTTTATTTTCCATGTATATCAATCTTAAAGTCGAGATGATCTGTTTGAGGGTTTTCCAGCATAAAAATAACCTTCACTGAGTTTTTAGGTGTATCTTACTTGTACAGTATGATACCTCATATAAACTATTTCCTTCTCAGTTATTTTTTGCTCGTTATAACTGAGTGAGTGATTTTGACAAATTAGTTTGAATTAAGTAAATAAGATTTTTGAAAACATAAACTCATTTGTATATTAAGTAATTTTATGAAATATATTTTCACTAGGAAAAGCATTGCATGACCTCACCAACCAGTCCACGTCCTGCTTTGAGCATCAGATATAGGGAGATGGACAGGACGGTTGAGTCACATTTCTCACAAGTTGACTCTTGGGTGTTGAATCTTGATTCGACAACTTAAAATGATTTATTTTTAATTTGTAGTCTACAAGTTATTTTTTTAACAAAATTTGAGGTATAAATACATCTCACAAGGATGTACATGCTTAAAATAATAATAATCTTTTAATAGAAAATTATGAGAAGATCCTAAAAAATTTTGGAGCATTTTGATCATCTATTTTTCATGAAAAATATTTTCTGATTTTTACATAGTGCACCTCAATAAGAAGATGGGACATGTCAAATTTCACTCAAAAACAATTGTTTAAAAAACGGATCGGTGACCCGAATCGGGTACCCAAAAAACCGATCCGGATCGGCGAATCGACGATCCTGATTAAGAATCGGGTGAATCGGTCAGAATAAAACTTCAAAAAAATCCTAAAAAATTATTAAAATTCATTATAAATATTGTTTTTTAGGAATTCAATAAGAAATGAGGGTACTCCATTAAGAATTTTCATGTTTTTGAATGAATATGCGAATATTGATATGTTCTTTCCCTGCATGAACAGCCATTTAGCATTTAAGTATATCAACATACATGGACTACAATAAAGCATAAAATTAGTAACATACGATCTAAAAATAAAATGATAGACGACGTTGTTGTTCTTCTTGGTCACGCTGGTGTCATTGATTGAATTCGTTTGACAATTCATTGATTCGATCTAAAAACGAATCATCGATATTAGCAAGCGTCTGACTATTCCCAAATCCCTGAGTGTTAGTGTTTTGTTGTGTTCTCAATTCAAAATCCCCGAAGCTTGTCCATCCTTCATGTTCACC